ATATTTTGATATATATCCTTCCAAATACGTATTCATGGTAGTTATTTCTGGAAGAAGTGATTTGGGGTGATCATAATTTTCTTATTTATCTAAATTTTTCAAACTTTCTATCTAAATAAGTGCTGTTTTTATAATCAGAGATATGTTATTAAAAGTCGTTTTCACAGCAAATATTTAACAAGTAACATCACATGACCAAGAATGTGCTTTGCCTAATAACACATTGAGTGATAATTCAGAAGACCAAAAATATCCCACTACATAGCAGAAATGACATTTCTTTGAAGATATACCACCCCTGATAGCTTTTATCATGGGAATCTCTTCCATGCTGCTCAGCCTGGAAAGGATTTTCTAACTGTATCTAGGAGAATCCTTTAATCATATAACCTTGTGGGCAGGACACATTCCACCTCCTAGTTATATCAAAGATTCCATGGAGAACCATTCTATTATTCTATCCCACCTGTAGGCCAGGTGAAGAAAGCTTATATTAGAGGGGCACTTAGCTTTGGTTTCACCTGTAGGAAAGAAGGGGGAAAAGGATACAGCTTCTAAGGATAGGTTATCTCTGGGAAAACCATCTTATTGCTCAGTAACTGGAAGGTTTCCCAACAATAAATTAATTGACCTGTCTGCTGTTACTTGAGTGGTTATGAAGCAGAATAACTATAAGGTCAGAAGCAAGATGAAGCCAAGAAGATCTGCTTTGAATTTACCAATTTAATATCTTAATGTCTTATTTAAGCACATAGAGAAGACCAAACGGCTACCCTGAAGACAAAGGGCAGAAGAAAATGCCTGGTATGCAGGATTTCCCAAATGTACTTGACTATGGAATCCCCCTTTTTCTGGAGTTGCTCATGGGCCTGGTGTTTCATGGACCACATTTTACTAAATGCAGCTACAGCAGAAAGCAAAGTAAATTACCCCTACCTTGCTCACAATAGCAGGTTGTCTGAGAGGAGAACAGTTTGTCAGAGGCCCCAAATACAAGACTGCTTTTGAGAGGACATTTCTGGCGGTAGTCAGGCTCTATGGTGTGCTTTGTTCTGCTTTAGAGATAATATCAACTGTGTTTAGGGGCAACAGATTTCAGAACGGACAAAGCAGCTGCTAGCCTAGCCACCTAAGGACTCTGAGGCTTGGAAGCAAGCTTTTCTTTGCTGTGAGATGTCAAGCCCCTAAAATTAAGTGTTGCTGTGGAAAAAACAGACCTGATCAAGGCTCTCACCATTCTTTTGGTTTGATGGAATAGCCAGTCACCTTCCTGAAGAAGGCATGAAAGCCCTGCCAGTGGTGTTCACTGTGAATCCCCAATACTCAGTGAGAACCCTGCAGCTTCTAGATTGCTAGTCCCCTTTAAAATATAGGCTACACTAAGAAGTGGAGGCATGCACCATTTATAGTGCAAAGACAAATTTGCTATTTTTGGGAATAAACAGATTAGATTTTTACCTAGAATGCTACCAGATGAGGGGCTCCTATCATGTGTGTATGTGTGCATGTGTGCTTGTGTATTTAAAGAAGTACAACATGGATTATCCTGCTTTTTGGTTACATGATATGGCTTGATTACTCATTAGTGAGAGTGCCTGTGTCATAGTGGCCTGTGAATTTTAGGGTTGCTATGGATACCGATTGCCTAAAAGGAGGTCTAATGAGCTAAAACTGTATATGCTTAAAGATGGAAACAAGTGCCTGTCATTAACTCATCTAGGAAATGAAAGGACTTCCAGATGTTTTGAATGCCCTGTGTGCAGAGCCCTGATTCCCTCGTCTACCTGATTCTAATTCAGTGAACCTGGTTCTAGATTGATTCCCCCTCTGTTAGGCAAACGCATGCATGTATTCATCTAACATATATTTACTGAACATCTATTATCTTTGGGTAGCCAACAGAACTTGCTGATGTATTGGAGTGAAGAATGTGAAAGAGAAGCGTCAAAAATGACCTTGAGGTTTCCAGCTTAAGAAAATCAATGGATGAATGTACTATTTGTACACTAAGATAAGAGGAAATATGGGCTGAAGGGAAAGCTGCTTTTGTTTTTATGTTTTAAGGGGGAAGAGGTGTAATTTTACAGTTCAGTTGGGAAAGAAGAAGATAACCGGATATAAGACTGCAGCTCAGAAGAGAAAACTGAGCTGGAGATAGAAACTTGGTAGCCCACAGCCTATAGATGGTATTTAAAGCAAAGGACAACATAATTTAGAGAAAGATGAAAACAGACCATAGGACTCAGCCCATAAGAACACCACTATTTAGAAGAAAAGAGGAGGAAAAAAAAGGCAGCAAAGGAGAATGACAAGGAGCAGCTAGTGAAGGAGGAGGAAAGTCAGGAGAATGGGTGTCATGGAAGCCCACAGAGGAGAGGGCTAAAGCCAGAGAGAATGGCCATCTGGGCTGAACACCACTTAGAGGTTGAGTAAATTGAGAAGAGTATTTTTGGGGTCAAGGTCACTAATGACCTTGATCAGAGCAAGTTCAGTGATCAAGTGCTAGGGTAGATGCTAAAATGGAGGGAATGAAGAGATGAAGATCTAGAGACATTGTACCTCAAGATATGAAGTTGTGATGGAGAGCATGAAAATGGGGTGTTAGCCAATGAGGTGACATATAAGTGTCAGGGGAAAGTTTAGTTTATGACAGAAGGCACTTGAGCATGTGTATGTGGGAGTGACCTGCAGAGGTTGAAGATGAAGAAGCAACTGAAGAAGTCAAGGGAGTGTGGGATCCAGAACCTAAGTGGGGGGTTAGCCTTCTGTAGTAAAATGTAAGGGGGTGGAAGAGAGAAAAAAGAGTGCTAAGGCAGGTAAAAAAAAACCCACTGCCACTGAGTCAATTCCAACTTATGGCGACCCCATGTGTTTTAGAGTAGAACTGTGCTCCACAGGCTTCTCAATACCATGGCTGTGATCTTTCAAGTGCCTCTGGGTGGATTTGAACCTCCAACCTTTCGGTTAGTAGTTCAGCACTGAACCATTTGCACCACCCAGGGACTCTTCTAAGACAGGCAGGTTTACACATTTGTGGTAGAAATACGATCACATCCACTCCTAATGTTTCTACCTTTCAAATTATGAAAAATTTCCTGGCATATTAGAAAGCTTAGTGTCTTTCTGTTGTATTTGTAACTGTAAATGGGGAGAAGCTCAAGTATAATTATTTCCAGAGAAGCATGTTGACAGTTTCTGGATAGCATAGAGGTCACAAGTCCCTTTGATATCAGCTCACAGACATGAGTGATTGGGGCTTTGGGATGCAAAAGAACAGCCTGGCAAAATGTGCATTCACTGGCAGCCTTAACGCTAATGTCTTGCCAATTATTAAGAAGCCCTCTGCTATGGAGCTGGCCATGAAGTTTAAAAGAGGCTGGATGAACCTCTTAACTAGACCTCTGTGAGGACAGGAAATGTCAAAAGTGTGTCTC